GATGATTGTACAGAGTCTTACACTTCGAATTCTATGATTTCATATTTTATTTATTTAGTCTTGAAACTGACTTTATTTTTTGTTCATGAAATTCATATACTTATTTGTTTTTTGATTGGTTTTTTTTTGTATGTTATTCACTATCCTTTTTCGTTCTTTTTTAATACATCTTCTTACATATAATTTATATTCCATAAAATTGGAGCTAGCTCTGTGGTTTTATATTTGCTTTGATTCAACATGTTTTTGCATTTTAAATTTAGAAAATATGAAAATGTCTTAAGAAAATGAACAATATATTGGCGCGAGAAATTAATTTAAATTCTCTTGAAATTGTATAATAAACAAATACAATCAAACCATTAGATATACGAAACTTTGTTACCTCAATCAAATATAATGACATATCACCCTATTGTCTTGAACAAATTCTTTGCGCACATCAAAACAAAAGAAGTCAGGGTAAATTCATGTAATGCAGTTATCTTTATAGTTATTTCTTACTGCCAGCGTAGTCTTATAAATATATGTAATTTGCTAAATGATAATCGGTGTCTATTTCTGCTGTAACCTAGCCCCATTCTACTACTTCATAATTTGAATTCAACATGACTGCATACGATTGCAATATTTAAGTACAAATTGTCAGTCTTAAAGTTAGATTAGTGACCAGTTTTTTGTAATTTTTTACGTTTGTCGAACGTTGGTCCTGATTTCTTAAAACAAAACCTTAACATTTTCAACAGAATATTTCATTCAGTAGAAATAAAGAATCGCATTTAGTCTTCTTATCACATAAGTTTTCAGTCATAAATAATTATGTGATGCCAACTCGTCTCTAAATTTGAATATGCGATGACATTCCGTCATACTGAAAGATGATTTTCTGAGATAAATCAGTTTTGTTGTAAAGTTACTACTAGATGTTACAGACTTCTAAGAATGAAATATATCTAGTTAGATGTGCTATATATCTGGTCTCATGCTTGAAATTGCAATTTTTTTGATAAAGAAAAGATACAATAGAGATTGCTAAATCATATAATTTATACATAGTTTTTTACTTCTTTTAAAACCGGGAAAAACAATTTTTTTTTGGTAGAGAAAAAATTTTTAATGTTTTCAATTTCGTATTCGCATAATCAATTTTTCCAAAAACAAAAAAACGAAAAGTCCAGAACATGCAATAAACTGTAACTGTTTGTGTCATCTGCTTTGTTTCATAACCAGCAAAAATAAAGTAAGAAACTAACTAAGTTTAATATTGTTATAAACCTATCTTGATTATTGTGATATTAATGAGGGATGGAATTATATTTTTCCTTAAATACAGTACAAGATAATGTATTCCATATTTTTATTGATTAAAGAATACATCCTCGTATTTAAAGTTTGTCTTTAGATATCAATATCAGCAGAAAGTATGCATGCTTCACCAGCATTTTCATTTGTTCACGGATATATCGAGATAGAGATGTTGTTACAATGTAACAACATATTCATATTTACCAGGAAACATTTGTCAGACCCTCATTTGTTGTGATCGTTGTCTGATATAACAATAAATGGTTAAATCAATGTAAACGCAATAACAACAAATAGACGTAACAACAGAAAGAAGCCTATGATATGGAAGAGCTAAGTATACAAAAAATACTTTAAAGCATGCCATGACGATGGAAATATCTCAGGTTAATGAACATTTTAATTATGTTAAAGACTTGCAAAATTAGAAAAAGTTAAGCCTTACACCTCTCACATATCTGTTTTTGTATGATATACCTATTGAAATTGCCGCACACACTACTTCTTTTTGTCAGGTCGGATGGTCTTTGCAAGGGCCAATTTGTCTTTTTAAGAGGACAATAACAAAGTTGGCAGTTAAAAGCGAAGAAAACATCGATAAAATTAAACTAAATAGCATCGGTTTATCTAGTGTATAGTATTTTAAAGACTTAGCAATCAGAAAAAGGAAATTGAATATATGGTGATAAATATGTGTTATTGGTTCCTGTTCGATTTTAAAAATTAAATATTTGTCTGAATACTCTCTTCTTTGAATTATAGGCGTGATAAAAAGCAATTTGAAATGATTTTATTAGATTTTCGTAATAAAGTCTATAAACACATTGCAAATAAAGGCATTCCTTCAAAAGACGAAATATAATGTATGTATAAAGTCTATAAAACTAATCTGTACATATTGCTATTCGTGTCTTTTAACCACTTGATTAATAATCTATATGTATACCTAAGTGGCAACTCACAACTTAAAGTTTGTTAACCTTATATACTTACATAAATAATCATTAAATTTCAAAATGATTTAAAATGAACAGTAAGGAGATAAACAGATATTTGATAATCGCAAGCTCATTATGTATTTCGTCTGTTTATTACAAGTTATGGAAAGTGAAAATGAATCGTTTGCAAAGTCATACGTTGCAGAAACAGTTGTCGAATAATGGCAGTGAAGTTGAGAAATGTGAGAACAGAGCGTGGCAACAAACTTATCTTTAGTTTTACGATTAAATCATTGTGTGGTATATTTCATAGTAGCAATTGCTTAAAATTGTAATAAATTTTAATACTTTTATCGAAATAATTATAAAAAACAACCCAAAATATCTTTTAGTTTGAAATGTCAGTCACTTGCTTATTAGTCCCCTACCGGTTTACCGGAGGGGACTTTAGGTTTACCCTCCGTCCGTCTGTCTGTCTGTCTGTCCGTCCGTCAGTCTGTCTGTCTGTCAGTCCGTCAGCCCGTCCGTCCACAAAACTGGATCCCGCGATAACTAGAAAAGTACTAAAAATATTTTTATGAAACTTGATATATGGATAGATGGCAGTATGGAGATTATGCACGTCTTTTTCGTTTCTTCCTATGTTGAAAATGCCGGTTGCAATGGCAACAAATAGACTGAAAAAATGGCAAATTTTACACATGAACAGGATCCAGTGATAACGCAAAAGTACTGGAAATACTTTTATGAAACTTGACAAATGGGTAGATGGCAGTCTTGAGCTTATGCATGTCTTTTTCTTTTCTTCCTATGTAGGGGTGTTGAAAATTCTGGTTGCTATGGCAACAAATAGACTGAAAATATGGCAAATTTTACACGTAAACTGGATCCTGTGTTAACGCAAAAAGTAATAGAAATATTTTTATGAAACTTTTAATATGGGAAGATGGCAGTCTGGAGATTATGCACGTCTTTTTCTTTTCTTCCTATGTTGAAAATTCTGGTTGCTATGGCAACACATAGACTGAAAAAATGGCAAATTTTACACATACACTGAATCCGGGTAGATGTAGAATGGGTAGATGGCAGTCTTGAGATTATGCATGTCTTATCTGTTCTCCCTATTTTGAAAAATATTGGTTGCCTTGGCAACAAATAGGCTTAAAACATGGCAAATATAACATTATTTGTGATTAGTCAAAAAGAGCTGAAATTTTTTTATGAATTGCATCCTTAATTCAAGAGTTATCTCTTTAAGAATTTTGCTTTTAAAAATGTTATATTTGGTTACAGGGATGTTTCAGATATTAACTTTAGAGTGTCCGTCAGTCCGTCTGTCTGTCTGTTCATAAAAACTGTTGTCTGTGATCAATTTTAAAGAACTTTTCCAACAAATTTACTTAAAATATAGAAAAATTGAAACATTAGTGAATGGCCAATGGCCCTCCAGAATGTTGATGGGGTTCTAACCGGTAGGGGACTTATGGATTGCTTGCAATACTATGATAATTGCTTGTTTTTAATACACGTACAGTTTATAAATGCACGTGTTCCTTTATATTCTTTAATGAATGTCTTTATACTACTGTATAAATCTAGGGTTTACACAAACAATTTCAATCTTTATTATTAAGATACAATGTGCCACGCAACTGATATCTTATGATTTATCTTCTAACAATATTTTCAAATAGAAATTTAAGACAGTGTTGCAAGAGATTTTTGGAGTAACTACAAAGATTTATCTATCTATATATATATATATATATATATATATATATATATATATATATATATATATGTAACTGATTGATAGCAAATATATATATATATATATATATATATATTTGCTATCAATCAGTTACAATCATACTTTTGAATTTACAAAATCTTCCTTGAAGATGACATATTTTTTATAAGTGATTGAATGACATCTATAGGCACTGTATAAATCAAGTTGTATCAAAGACTCATTTATCCGCTCATTTATCATTTTTTCTTCTGACATTTTTGAATATTTTATGTCATAATTCCAGGCGTTGAACAAAGATTGAAATAGTAGCAAAGTCAGTTGCTACACAAAGTGAATATATTGTTCCATTCTTATTTTGACCTGACATCGTGTCAATTGATCGAGTTCCTTATTTCCAATCAGTTGCTTCATATACACTTAAAGCGGCTGAATTCATATTAAAAGTTTGCCGCTTTGTTACATGTATGCCAACATTTACGTGAATTTTACATTTATTGTAACAGCATCACCACAAAAATTTATTCTTTCGTTAGTAGAGTTTTAGAGTTTTTATTTCTTCCATGAAAAAAATTTAAAACTGAATTTCACGGAAGGAAAATGCAATACTATGCAAATGAATGTTTTGTTCTAACTATTTAAAATCTATAAAACTTTGTCTCCCTTTTTGTAATTCCAGACGGTGGCCATTAAATCAAGTAAAAATCTGGTAATTTATTTTGTACTGACGGAATAAATTAAACCATAAAGCTTGAAATGAGTATGGTTTTCCCATAAAACAATCGTATTTATCACTTTTCAATTTGAAATGAGCTATCAAGTTTGATCTGACTTAAAACGCACACTTTTTAACTACGAGCTTAAAACATTTTCAAATGTAGGTATCTTAATTTATCAATATCCTGAGAACCTAATATTTTTTTAGACCAATTAACATGTTTGCAGTTATCTAATACCATCTCAGTATAGGGTCCGTAAGTCTCGTTTACTTTCACTTTCGATTTACCACTTCCGGGTACATCGGCAGACTTATTTACCGTTACGCATATAGGTAACCCGAAGAACTCGAGAGATGTAGAAGTTAAATTTGCTTCGGTCCTCTTTAGATTTGAAGGAATGGAAAGCACGGGTCAAAAAATGCAGGTAGGTCAATTATCTGACGGAAAAACGAGGGATTTATACAGTTTAATAAACTAGTTTATTTTCGGATAGTGACAATTGTTTCGGATGTTTTGTCAAGGTAGTGAATTCTAGTTGTTTAGCTTTTAGTATTGTTTTAAAACTACTGATGTGAGAAATTAATTCAAACCATTTTAACTTATTGATATAAACAATGGAGAAACACTTTAATTCTAGTGTATATTAAAGTTATAAAAAATTCGGACATTGCACAGTAATTCGGATATTTCTTCCCTTCCATTTTATCAAGATTTCAATTACTTATTTTAGTATAATAAACCCCAGGTCCCAAATAAGAGTTTTGATAATTAAATAATTAGATGGATAGATCATAGATTTATGCAAAGTTTAATAGTATTGTTCCATTTCTAACTATGGAGAATAGTATCAAGGCACTAACACTTATTTTTTATTCTTGTTCCTTTTTCAATTATATATACATGTTAATATGGTACCTAGCAAATTATGATTAAATTAAAAAATATAATATTTAAACCATTTCAGATGTGTAGACAGGGAGGTATATGACAAGTATAGAATATACAGTTGTTCACTATGGACCATTAATCAACTGTTTGCACTGCCTATGATCCTGAAATATCTATACATCAAAGGTAAATACATGTAAAATAATTGATTAATTTTTAGTTGAGATCGGAAAGATAAACAATTATCAAAATATTTTAATAATTTTTGGATTTCACTGCATGAAAATTGATAAATAAATAAAACACGAAAACAGTAATGTTTCACATTCAAGAAGATCAATATTTTTTACTGTTATATATTATGTGTTGTTGTTTATCTTTAATGTTTATTTACTTCAAATATGAAATTTTCTGTCAATCATGACCAGCTTATAAAATGTAATGTAAATATCATTTCTAGTGTATTACTCAGTGAAATATATTCAGGTCTTACACTTGTAACAACATATTTATTGATTTTTCATTCTGCAGATAAAAAGGAAAAAGGTGAAGGAGAATTTGTCCATGAAGACCTTTATTGCAACTACCATCTTCCAGTTCCTTAATTTGAGAATGATATCAGAGAACACACAGTCTTTAAAAAAGATAGAATAAAGATTTGATCACCATCCCCATATCTCACCATCCTGTATAGATATAGTTAAAAATGCTGTAACATATATATTATGTTGTAAACTAATTGTTTATTTGTTCACATGTTATTACAAAATGTATGTTTTGTAATCTGTGTCTATGAAATAAAAGAAATGTTCTTTTTTGTTCTGTACAGTGAAATATTAGTTTAATATAAGCCACTGACAATAGTCAAATGTACTTTCCTGAAGAAGATGAATGACATCCAGCACAAAAAACTTAATGTAAAAGAGTATGATTTTATGGTGTTTGACACTATGATCTTGTTAACTTGTTAGAAACAGAGTAAAATATCCACATTTTATTGCAGTTTTAAGTATTAAAACTAGATACTCTATATATACCAAAGTAGATAACACACCAGAGATCAGGATTTTCATGGAATCACAGTATAGTCATATGTCATTATGGACATTAAATGACTATGAAGTAAAGATGAAAAAGACATAGCAAAAATATTATATATCATCTACTACTAATATTGTGAGGTAATCATTGATAAGCTCACAAATTTGCATTCAAAGCTTTAATTGATATCAAGCTGACCATTTTTCAATAAGAATATGATTTATAACTCTATGATAATTTGTTCAAATTTGTTCATGTTAATTTTCAAAGTCTTTACATTTGTAAAAAGAAATATTCTTATTCTTGTATCAGTAGACATTCACAGTGTAAAGCTACATTGTCCAAATAACTAATAATACATGTAATTCCAAGTGCTTTCCTGAAGTTTTTCTTCCACTGGAAAATCAGTGTGATATATATGCTAAGCAGTGCACTATAAATTGTGTAAAATAAAAGTTATCAAACTTATGAACTGTGTTTCTACTATTTTGCATATATTTATAGCAGTGCTTGATCATAAGGGTTCATCTGCAAAATAAGTGTCACTGTGTACTTTAATTCTCTAACAGCAATGGCTAGATTGTTTGAATATGCAAGCATTGACTATATTTAATACTATGCATGTCATTTGAATTTTGTCTGTCCTTAAATCGAAACAGACACTATCTAAATAATATTGATGAAAAGTTCTTGATAGCTCTTCAATGACTACTTTTACACATATGTACACATGGACAGAAGTTAAAAGCATTGTGTGGGTTTTTTTTTTAAACATTGACAATTTTGAAACAGTTCCAATGGGTATATTAATGTACCAGTGATGTAATTGTTTTGTATCAAGTGCAAACACTTAAGTTTTGCATGTTTTGTATAGATAATTCACTTTTGGTCAAATGTCAACAGGTTCAATACATTATAAAACAGGTAATTTGAAACCCAAAGAAGTATATGGTATGTAATAACTGCCCCTCTGATACTAAAATCTTTCAAGGAATGCAGAATTGCAAGTCTTCTCCAATTTTGTGATTAAGAGACAGACTTGGGCTTTCAAGGGCTAGCAAGCTAGTGTTTTGCTACAGAATACTCAACACAGATGAATTGCATTAATATTGTTTACTCTGGTATTACTACCTGCCATGTACAATGCAAATCATGGCTTTTCTAAGAGCAGTGAAAGGCTATTACTGGAAGGAAATTTACACATCTTGCCTCACAAACAAGTTTTTCTTTGAGATGATTTTTATGATATTTAAATGATGGTTATAGATTACATTACTTTTACAATTGCAGTGATCATGGTGATAGTATGAAATGAAACTCAATCAAGATAGAAACATTTTAATGCAGATCATTTATCTTTTTACAATTCTTGTCACCTTACAAGTCTATTTAAATCAATTTTATCTTAACTGTTTTTAAACTACATGATGCCTGGTTGAAACTGTTTGGGACAGCCATTTGCAGAAGATAAATTATCTTTGAATAATTCAGTTAATACAAAGTTACAAATGACAAGTGATTTATTTCTAACAAAGACAGGTTACTTATTTCTAACAAAGACAGATATTATGTTTAACATTTTTACACTGACATATATCTTTGAAGTGTCTTCAACCTTAGTTTTTATTAGAATACAAACATTCAGTGAGACAGTTTACACAATACATGGACCTTTAAGAAGCTTTAATTCAGTCAAAATCTGTAATGGACTGCCATGTCTCTACCACTATGTACTCCAAGACTGTGTATGGACATTTCCTTTCAACTATGTCTGGTGGTATCACTATTTGGTTTCTAATCTGATGGTGAACACTCCAAAATAAATAAAGAGCCATGACAAGTACTCAAGATCCAACCATGAAATCACATATCTGAATATACATAATCACATATGAATAAAATTTATCATGAGTTGAAAGCAATAATAATTGGTCAGCTGTAAGTTGTAATCATTTTCATATTATTTTGAATAGAAAATAATGTTGAAAAGGAAGAAACACTTCTTGGTGTCACAGTTTTTGTAGATTTGCTTTGACAACTGATCTTTAAAAAAATGTGATAGTGACTAAGTTCTTTTAACCATTTACTGAACATGATTTAACTAAAATATATGACCCACTTACTTGAGAAAAATACTGTAAACAGTATTTAACATGAATTAACTACATATGCCATACTGTTTGTTTATTTAGCTACACTGTGATTATTTACAAAAACGAGAACATTATGTTATACAAGAATATTTATTTTTCATTAATGTAGTTGAAGTAGCTTTAAGTATATATTTCTTACCAAAACGATTTTACAGCAGAGCATGCATGTGTATTTACATCGGATACTGACGTCTTTCATCTCACCACTGTCATCAGTCTAAATATCTACACGAGCAAAATATTTCATTAAATTTTATGACAATTTAAATTGGTAATATACAGCTTGACTGTTTGTGCTTTATAAAGATAATAATAAATAATATTTTCAATTATAAGAAAATATATTCAACTAAAACACACTGATAATCATATTGAAACGTTTTATCCGAAATATGCGCTGTCCGAAATTTCTAAACATTATATACCTCTGAGAGATAATCAAGTAGCGCTATAGAAAATTGAAAAAATCAAATTCACCAGTCTGAAGTCAGATGCGAATGATGTTGTATCAAATAACAAATTTATTAGATTTACACGGACATGAAAATATTACATCATTTATTGCAATAAACTGAATTCGAAATGACACACCCACCTGAAGATTATACGAAATTGTCTTTCATTGATCTACTTGTTCACAAGATGAAACTATTTGCATTGAACAAATCTGCCAATTTCCACATATCCTTTGCTTTTCCGTGTAAGTTTTACTTTCCCACCGGCATACAAGTATTACCCAATATAGATAAGCAATGTTGTTGATATTTGTTTGTACCCGGAAGTGCAAAATATCGTGAAATCTCGCAAGTCACATGACGAGACTTACATACCCTATTACGTTTGTATATCAATACCATTTGGGAGTTACGAATTAAGCTTATAATACAATAAATAAATAAGGTATAAAATTACTGTAATTTTAACGTATTTTACAAGGGGCGTGGTTAAAGGTGTACTTAATATGTAACTGAGGGAATATAAGAGACGTTTTCAAGATTTCAGGAGTTACAATGAGATCGAGAGTTAGAGCTGAAATACTTTCAAAATTTTTATATTCTATTTATATAAGACAATAACATTTTATAAGTATTGTATTTGTCCCTTTACTTCCGAATTCAATGTAGATTGTACTTTACTGAATATCAGATATATGTCTGTTTGATTATTCGCCCTTCTCATGAAACAAATTGTTATTGCAAATCAATTGATGCTTGTTCATATTTATTCATTATTCAGAAACAATAAAGAGTCGTATAAAGTCCGCTTATTGCATTAGCATTCAGTCATAAATAATGAACTGATACACTCGTCTATAACTCGGAATATGCAATGACATTCAGTGATACAGAATAATTGATTTACTGAAATAGATAGGTCTTATATTAAAAAGAATGTGTGAAGCTTTAGTAAGCATTTATGATTAAAAGGACTGTTTTGGTCGATGTTGACAGTGCCTGGTATTTGTTATATTGTCTTACGGACCTGCGGATATTTCTAAATTCAAAATTACACCATCACCTTGATTAAATGTTGAATTCTGCTTAAACAGGTGCTAAAGGCGTGGACGTTAAGTTGCACGTTCGTGTACACGTCCATGAACAGGCTCAATCAAACCGAGTCTGCAACAGTTTTGGGCTTTCTTCACTCTATTTTACATTCATTTGCAGATATAGATTTAAACAGAAAAGAATCATTCAACTCTTTTAAACAGAATATTGTAACTTTGTAACAACTTTTGATACCCACTACCGAAGGAATGACTTTTTAGTCCTTTACTAGTCCAACGGATAATTGATTGAGGCGAATTTTCCCATTGACAACTGATCTCGTAGATCGACTCTTATGTCTGACAATTTGTTACTTTTTGTTAATGGGATTAATAATCAGTCATTTGTGATTAATCAAATTATTGTGCTGATTGATGTTAAAAGCTGAAAAACAGACATTATCAATCACATCAGTATGTTTTTGCATTCACCACACCACAGGCTTCAACAAAATGCAATATTTAAGTAAGTGAATAGATACAATATTTGCAATATCTAAACATCCAAAGTAACTGTATATATTAATTATTGTCGAATATGCTATTCAAAACTTGAGCACATCTTCAAAACATCTGTGGAGTTATCCAAATTTGTAGACACGAATTGATTGACCGCAAGTCTGCATAATTTTCTATTTTGCTGTTTTGTGCTTTTGTATGAATTCAGTTTTTCTCTATTCTTAATTCTATTATCATATGGCATGAAGAAGATGGATTACTGTTACCAATATCTGCATAGGGTAGTCAATATAAAGGGTTAATGGTAATGTCCTTATATTGCCATACCATTAATGAAATGTCTTTTGTTTTTTTTGTAATAAAATGATATTATCTACTATTTTATATAATAATCATATAGTTATTTATTGAAGAAAATTGACGGAAAAATATAGTATTCATACAAAATTATTTGTGTACATAAAGAACTATCAAAATGATAATGTGAATTCGTTTAAATGTTTTATATTTCATACAATTCTACTTCAATGTTATACATGTGTTATTGTCGTAAACCTATTATTTATTGAACAATTAAACTGTGACGCCTAGACTGCTGTATTTACAGGCTTTGCATATCTA